AAATCTCGGGAAATGTACTCAATCAGATTACAAAGATCTTTGTATGGTTTAAAACAATCTGGGCGCATGTAGTATAATCACCTCAGTGAATATTTATTGAAAGAGGGTTACATAAATGATATTATTTGTCCATGTATTTTTATAAAGAAAATGGTATTAGAATTTGTTATACTTGCTATTTATGTTGATGACATAAATCTTGTTGGAACTCCAGAAGAGCTCCAAAAGGCAATTGAATATCTTAAGAAAGAATTTGAGATGAAAGATCTTGGAAAGACAAAACTTTGTCTTGGACTGCAAATTGAATATTTAGCAAATGGGATCTTTATGCATCAATCTGCCTATACAGAAAGGGTCTTAAAATGCTTTTACACGGACAAAGCGCACCCATTGAGTACATCAATGGTTGTTCGATCACTTGAAGTGAATAAGGACCTGTTCCGACCTCCAGAAGAGGATGAGGAACTCCTGCGTCCTGAAACACCCTATCTCAGTGCAATTGGTGCACTTATGTATCTTGCTAATGCTACAAGGCCTGACATAGCATTTTCTGTTAATTTACTAGCAAGATATAGTTCTTCTCCTATACGGAGACATTGGAACGGGATTAAGCATATATTGCGATATTTAAAGGGAACTCTTGATATGGGTTTGTTTTATACTAACAAAGATAGTGCAAATCTTGTTGGTTATGCAGATGCAGGTTATTTATCTGATCCCCATAAAGCTAGATCTCAAACCGGGTACGTGTTTACATGTGGAGGTACTATCATATCATGGCGCTCCACAAAACAATCTATTGTTGCTACTTCTTCAAATCATGCTGAAATAATAGCCATTCATGAAGCAAGTAGGGAATGCGTATGGTTGAGATCAATAATTCATTTTATTCGAGAAAAATATGGTTTGGAATGTGAGAAAAGACCCACAATTTTATACGAAGACAATGCTGCATGCATAGCCCAATTGAAGGGAGGATTTATAAAAGGAGATAGAACGAAGCACATTTCACCAAAATTATTCTACACACACGATCTTCAGAAAAATGGTGACATTGATGTGCAACAAATCCGTTCAAGTGACAATCCGGCAGATTTATTCACCAAATCTTTACCAACTTCAACTTTTGAGAAGATGGTATACAAGATTGGAATGCGGAGACTTAAATATTTAAAATAAGGTTTTCATCAGGGGGAGTAAAATACGCGATGTACTCTTTTTTCCTTATTAAGGTTTTTTCCCACAGGGTTTTCCTTATAAGGTTTTTAATGAGGCAGCTAGCAATGTGTATTACTAAATATGTGTACTCTTTTTCCTTCACTAGGATTTTTTCTCACGGGGTTTTTCCTAGTAAGGTTTTAACTAGGCACATTATCTTCTAATGAACATCCAAGGGGGGGTGTTATGAATATATTATATTATGGATGTTCATTTAGTACTCCGTTGTAAATAAGCTTCCTGAAAAAGTTTATCCATACGAGACTCCGCCATAAATATATTTATCTATTTAGTACTCTATTGGAAATAAGCCTCCTAAAGAAGCTTATCCTTTCGGTACTCCGTTATGGATAAATATTACCCATGATAGAAGATTATCTATATCTGGCACAACAGTTTAGAGCAGCAGCTTACAAGTAGCTTACACAGCAGCTTACAAGCAGCTTGCAGTAGCAGCTTGCAGTAGCAGCTTACACAGCAGCTTCCTTTCTTCTATAAATAGAGGAGAATTCAGTTCATTATGTACATAAGTTTGAAGTTTGAATAATATATCAGTTTCTCTCTATACTTGTCTTTACTTTACAGTCTTTATTTTATAACAATAAGCAGATTTTAAAGGCTATTTAAAATGAACTTTAACCAGACTTGACCAATCGTATAAAATGGAGAAGAAATTAAAGAGAAGATCCAAAAGAAGTGGATTTCTTAAGAATAATAATAAAAAAAAGTATTATACACTAATAGTGTAAAATATTTTTAATGGTAATTTAACCTATTATAATAAATTATATATAATTGTTATCAGATTACTAATTAATATTTATTTGTAATTACCTTTTAATAACCTGATTTTGCAAATCTATTAAATCGTCAATATATAAAACCTAAATAATAAAAGAAATTAAAATAAAGAGACACCATGTGATTTTCCATATCTAGATCCACAACTCACATGAATATACTTATCACACCAGATCGCTATTACATCCGACCGGTCACCACCAATCATGGAGCTCACCCGGCCGGTTCAAGTTATAATCAACCCGGTCTTACCCCACCTAAACCGGTATCCTTTTCGCGCGTATAAAACACCGGCTTTTCCTCTCAAAGCAGAATCTCATCGTACAGTACCAAAAAAAGAATCAGCCTTTTGTCCTAAACTTTTCTGTATTTAGAATCTGCATTTTTTTTTCCTCGGGATCTGTGATATTTTTCATTGAAAATGGCGCGAGGAAAACTTGAAGTACTTCTCGTTGGGGCTAAAGGCCTCGATAATACTGATTTTCTCAGTAAGTGATCTGCAATATTATTTGATTCGTCAATTTCCTTTTTGTTTTTGCGGTTTTTGTTCTGATCAGTTGAATTGGATGTGGGTTTCTATTCTTCTCCTTAGAATTTGGTGGAAAAATTAATATAAAAAAAATAGTAGAAAAATCGAGTCTTTAAAAAGTTTAAATTCACCATACCATAACTGATCATATGATCCAGGAGATTTATTTCAATGGATGTACAAAAGACGTCGAATTTGTATTTTGGATCTTAGTCTTGCTGATGTTTAGTGAACTAGTCAAGTTAAAAAGTAAAATCATTTTAACAATTTCATTATAATATTTGATTTGATGATTTCTTGATCAAACTAATTTTTGCATTAGTATTTTAATATCTTTATTCTACAGTAAACTAGTAAATTTAAATCTAGCTCATGCCTAGTCAAATAGTGTCAAATAAAATGGACTCAAAGGAACAATCGATTGAACATTCTTCTTGGCCATTTGACTTCAATTTGGTAAGAGTGATTAGTCTCCTTTTGGACTTCCCGGCGCGAATCTGGATTTAGTCGGCCCCAATATGGGTATCTATGCTGATAAAGTGGTAAACTAAGTATTAAAAATGGACGATCGTTTCTTAAAAAGAGAATATTTATTCAGATCATATTCGCCTATTGCCTTTTTCTTAATTTATCAATTTGCTATATTTTACTTGTTTAAATGTATTATATGGTGATACAGATAATATGGATCCATATGTGGTTCTAACTTGTCGATCTCAGGAGAAAAAAAGCAGCGTTGCATCAGGTACAATGTCATAATCTTTGGTTAAGTGTCTTAATATTATTAATTTCACATTTATTAAGAAAAAAATGAAGTTTGATTAATATAATTTATGATGATCTTGATGTTGGATTTTCCATAGGGAAGGGATGTGAACCTGAATGGAATGAAACATTTGTTTTCTCTATTTCTGAGGGTGTTGAAGAACTGTTCTTGAAGATAATGGACAGTGATTCTGTAGGTGAAGACGATTTTGTGGGAGAAGCCAAGTAAGTATTATTAGAGGCGAATCTAAGATTTATACATATTTTTTGTATGTATAAACATAGTCTGAGTTTGATAGTATGGTCTAAGTTGCTCGGATACGGGTGTTGATCTAGAGGTTGGATCCTTCAAGCTGTAAATTCTAAAATTCGGGGATACAGATTCTAGTACGGATATAGGTGCGGGGATCCGGCTAAAAACAATTCAAAAAAATAAAAATATAAAAATATCTCTAAACTATGAGAAATTTTGTGGAATACTTACGTATATATAGCTTGTAAAGTATGGATTTTTTTTATTCTCAAGTTGTAGATAAGTAAATGATTGATTTTCTAGATAAGGTATGTCATTTTCTTCAAATTTATCCTAGTTTTGGTTCTGATTTCGGGAATCAAATTGTATTTCGTTTCGAATTTTTCCATCCGTCGCGCTCAAAGTACCTAAAATTGTTTGATCGGATCCAGTATGGATCCCATATCCACACCCATACTAGTGTCGTGTAGACACGGGTGCGGCACCTAAAATGCTATGTCCGAGCAACTTAGAGTATGGTTGTACGTGCACCCACTGCTAATATGTTGGAGATCTGCATATGTTGTTACTTTCGAAGGATCATTTCACACAAGCGTGACCTAAACAATTCAGAGATTTTTACTTTTGTTACAGAAGTTGAATGGTTGATATTTGTTTTTGAACTATCCATGTGTGTGATATATGCAGGATAGCTATTGAGCCAGTTTTTTCAGAAGGGAGCATCCCAACAACTGCATATAATGTAGTTAAAAATGAAGAATATTGTGGAGAAATTAAAGTTGGTCTCACTTTTACTCCTCAGGCAAGTTACTTTCTTCCCACTTTTATTAATTCATATGCTTCATATTGGATACAATCAAATCTATAACAGCTTTGTTTGTTTCGATATTTTTTGGTTGCTATTGTGAAGTGCTTTTATAAAGGACATATATTATAACATAATATAAAAATCGATGCCGAGAAAAATTTAACTTTTATAGTGGATGACTGTTATATAGAAATATTATAGAAAGGTCTGTTGTATATCTTCTGTCCTACTTAAATTTCTGAGCTAGTTTGGTACTGCTAAAGGAAAAAGAATGTGTATATGTGTGCGTGTATCCATTTGTGCGTGTGTGAGAGAGAGGATCTGTGACATTTGCTAGCACCGAATAACAGCAACTACTATTACGCCTTAATCTCAAACAAGTTAGAGATTAATCATATAGATCTTCACGTCCATGTCAGTTCATTTATACCCGTCTTGATCAGTCGAATATTATGAAATGACCACAGATAAAGAACTCTAAAAATTAGCATGACATTTAAGTATAATTGGTATGCTAAGTGCATTATATCTTTTTCTATGTTGCAGGAGGAGCGGGATTATGAACAAGAAGAAAGTTATGGCGGATGGAAAGAGTCTTCTTATTGATGTGAAGCATCAGTCCGTCGATCAAATTGATGTTGTTCCTCATATTACCAATTTGATTCCAAACGTTGTGTTCCAATATATACTTAAATGAACATGTTGGGGTTTTCTTTTCCTTTTTTTTTTTTTTTTTTT